TTTTTATATAATTCTCTTTCAGTTATTTATTTTTCAAACATTTTCTTCCAGCTTCTGGTTTGTCTTTTTGCCTTCATAAAGGTATTCTTCAGATGAACAGAAGTTCTTAATTTTAATGTAGTCAATTTTCTCAATACTTTCCTTTATTGTTTTGCTTTCTTAGGTGTTTGATGTAGCAAAACCACTTCTTACACTGAGGTCATAAAGATATTCTTCTATGGGGTCTTCTAAATTTTATAGTTTTACTTTTTACATCTGAGTAGTCAACCTACCTGGAGTGAACTTTTGGGTACATACTGAAATGGGGGTTGCAAATTCACCATGTCTCCTTCACTGAAACGTTTGTCAACTCACCTAGAGTGTTATTTGTCACTAATCCAATTTTCGTATGTGTGAGGGGCTGCTTCTGGGCTCCTTGACCAACTTGTTCCTTCCTTTGCTCCAGAGACTAAATTTCTACAGCTTAATAATAAATACCTCTCTTCTAAGGCATGTTACATGTTACGGTTATTTCTGGTACACTGTTCTTTCCTACAGATTTTAGCGATAGCTTACCAATTTCTATTTTTAAATTCTTTAGAATTATTTTTACAGGAATTGCATTGAATGTATAACTCAACTTAGAGAGAACTGACTCAAACAACTAAGTCTTCTGATCCATGAACAAGGTTTCTTTACCCTTTCATATAAATTTTCTTTAATATTATTTCAATAAAATTTCTTTTTTCATAAGGGTCTTGCTTATGTTTTGTTAGACAACGTTTTGCCTTTTACTAAAGTAATTAATAATTTATAAATTATATTTCTCTCTGCAGACACATTGAAATAGATGCTATATTTTAATTATGTGTAGAGCAAATTTGCTAAAATCTTATAATATTTCTAATAATTGATCTATAGGTATATTTGAGGTTTTCCAAAAAGATGACCACATCGCCTGCAACAGTTTTATTTTTTCCTTTCCAATTTATTTCTTTTACTTCTTCTTTTTGCCTTCCAGTATGATGTCAAATGCAAGTAGTGACTGATTTTCAAATATTAAACCATACTTGCATTATTGGCTAAACTCAGCTTGGCCATAATATCTCTTTTATATGTTCTTGGATATGATTTGCCAATATTTTATTTCATTTTTTTGGCATTGTTTTTATGAATAGGATGGGCCTATAAGTCTTCTTTGTCATCAATATTTGGTTTTGGTACCACAGTTATCCCTCATTATCCAATATATCTCACACTCTCAAGGTTTTACTGCATTCCTGGTATCAGAGTTGTACTACTTTCAATTTTGTCTTCTGGAATAAGTTATATACAACTGGAGATTTTTTTTCCTGTTTGGTGTAATTGATAAAATAACCGGGATCTTATCTTTCTTTCCTTCCTTCTTTTTTTCTCCCATCCCTTCTCACTTCCTCCCGGGCCCCTCCTTTGGCTCTTTGTCTCTCATGGTGATTTTGTTTCCTGTGAGTTTTGTACTTTGAAATTGTAAGCTCATTTTTCTTGAAACTTTAACTTAATTTAAGCTTTGATTGAAGATGAATGGTTTTGGGCACCTGGGTGGTGTAGTCGGTTAAGTGTCCAACTCTTGGTTTTGGCTCAGGTTGTGATCTCAGAGTCATGAGGTTGAGCCCCCCGTTGGGCTCAGTGTGAAGTCTGCTTGGGTTTTTCCTCTACCTCTTTTTCTGCCCCTCTCCCTGCTCTCTCTCTCTCTAAAATAAATAAATCTTAAAAAAAAAAAAAAAGATGAAAGGCTCAAGAAAGGACATGCTTTTTTTTTCTCCTGAAAGGTAGCATAAATTCAGGCTGCTGTGATCACAATGTCTCAGAAAAAATTTTTTCTTCCCTTCCACCCAGCAACAAGGTTTGACACTGGCAGTTCCTCATGCAGTCCTTGGAGTGGAAGATTAGATTTATTTTCATCTTATAGAGTAGTGTAGCCCGTGAGACTCCAGCTTTATATGGAGTTCTCCAATTAGGCATCCCACTCTGGCTCGGCCCTGGGCTTTGTCTACTGCAACTCAAAGCAATACCAATTACAGTCTCATCATAATATACAGAACACTTAGGATAAATATAACATTATGAAAGTGAAAGAAGTCAGACATTAAAAAGTATGTACTTCATGGTTCTGTTCAAATGACATTCTAGAATTGACAAAATTAATCTATAGTGTCAGAAAATAGATTCAATGGTTTGATTTGGGCTGAGTAACTGCAAAGTTCTGTAAGGAAACTATTTGAGGTAATGAAAATGTTCAGTATCTTGACTGTGATGGTGGTTATTCATGAAACTGTCTACCCACATGAATACATTTAAAATTGGTGCATTTTATTGTATATAAGTTATCCCCCATTACTGTTAACTTTAATATCTGAAAGATGGATATATAATGATAAAAAAATCAAGTTATCCATTTAAGAGCTACACATTTTACTCTATGTCAATTTTATGTCAATAAAATGATTTTTTTTTAAAGCCCCTTTGAGGACTGGAATTCTAGAAATCCATTAAGGGTTTTTACCACTACCCTTACTAGCATCAATATGAGTTTAAAATAAATGGAATCCTTATCAGACCCACTAAGCCTCCATAATAAGGCTGCTTTAGAACACTGGGGTCTTTGGTCGGGTCACCATTTAGTTCTTATTGCTGATGAAAATGTATTCCTATGACTGATGGCTACTGGGCAGAAGACGACTATCTATGCAATATTGATTTTGGCATCACTTAGGCCATTTCAACTATTCTGTTGCTATTGCATGCTTTTTCAGTTATGACTAAAAAGAAGTCATGTCAATGTGAGTCACCAAATTCCTACTGCTAAGATCCAAAGGTTTTCAAGGACTGAAATATGTATATTCATTTTTTCCTGGTTTTACATGCAGACAATTTTGGTGCATTGTGGTAGAGATAAGGTCTTCTTACAAATTCTTGTTCTCTCAAAACAAAATGTGGAAGCAAAAGCCCATGGAAAGGTGTGTGAAATCCCAAAGTGCCAAAGGACAAGTCCAGATTATTCCTCAGTCATTATCTCCCATCTCTAGTCTTGCCAGGTCTGATATTCCTTTTACCCATGTACTCTGTGCCACTCTTCCCTCACTATCTCAGATTATGTTTCTAACTAAATTTTATTCTCATTTAACTCTACTTTCCAGTTTTCATCTTAGCATCCTTTGAGTGATTCAATTCAGTTCTATTTCTTAGCTTCCTCTCATCTGCCCAGTGCTGTGCTCACGGTGGTGTATATTAAAAATCAACCAGCTATTGAAACCCGTCACTGAAGAGAGTATAAGCTAGTGGGGGATATTTATGGGTAAATGATGACAGAGAGATATACACACAGTCCTATTATTGACTCATACAGAAAAGAGTCCCCAGCTCGCTGAGAAAGTCCAAGGCTTTGTAGAAAAGACACATGAAACCTAAACTGAGCCCTGAAAGTGAACAGGATTTGAGGGCACACAAGGGCGACCAAGAATGGGTTCAGGGAACGGCATTCCAGGAAGAGGAGACCAAAGGAGCAAAGGCATGGGGAGGACACAGGATCCCTGTGGCCCACTGGAAAATAAGGTTGATAAGGTCCATCTCCCACAGGGACTTTTTACATTTTATAACTTTTTGGTAAAAAATTACATTCAACTTAGAAAATGCTCTTAAAGTTGGAAAAATGCTGACATTTGTGTTTATTTCTGTGACATCTCTCAAACACTTCAAACTCTGTGATCCATCATTGTAATATAGACTTGTTCTATAGTCCTAGATGTCTAGGATGTACAAAGTCTATACTTTCAGAGGAATTTGATGGCATAGCAGAATTTCATAGAGTTTATTTAGTATTTTATGTCTCACTCATGAATAAGTATCATCACAATGTGGTAGTTGGAAAGAAAATAACATGAAACCATATTCAAATCACTTGCATTATGATAAACAATGTAAAGAAAATGAGCTACAAAAAGATGACATTATTTAGGCAAAGGTTTCTATTCTAACTTCTATCTTCCCTTTATACTATCCATTCTTCCTGTCTGTGCTCAATATCAAAAATAGTAATGTTTTCACATACAAAGAATATTTCTAAAGAGGGTCCTTCAAGCATAGGAGGATGTCCACCACCAGGGGATAGTGTGTGCGTGTGTTTGTGCGTGTGTATATGTACCATGCCTAGGCTAGATCAAGCATGGATACACAGGCTTCAACTAAATGTTTTCCAAACATCTTATGAATCCGGGTTTCAATGACAATGACCAGTACTGTAGATTTTGGGATCACAAACTAAAGGATGTAATTAAATTTAATGATTTTAAAGATCCAGGCAAATTGGAGTCTATAAACAAGTTGTTAAAAAGGTTTTGTATTTCTCCTATTCTTCAGGCTCCTCTCATCACCATAATCCAATCTCCGTTTTAAATACACTTGATTTCCATTTTTAAGCTCCTCTATTTCTGTTACTGGCAGCTAAAGATAGTGAGAATTATTTTATTATTTGAAGTGTAATAGTTTTTTAGACATTTTGCGATGTCTACCACATAAGTCACGTAGATAAGTAGTATTATAATTTAAAGATATGTGTATTTAGTTTTTTGAAAAATGAAAAACTTTGTGTCAAGAGATTCTTTTCTAAAAAAACCCACTGGGTTTAAAAACAATGTGTACACTGTATTGTATATACATCATGCAGCCTTGTTGTGTATCTTTTTCTTCCCCTTTAATATGAATCACAAAATATTTAAAGTGTTAAGGGTTAACAACATCCATGGTTAAACATTAGGAAGTAAGTACAACTTGCAGAACCTGCACCTATAATATGTGCTATATTTCAGAATTAAATACTATCTTCACACAATAATTTTTCCAACTATTATTCAACACACAAAACACACGGCTCTAGAGAAGTTCTTCGAGCACAGAGCTAGTTAATAAGACACACAGAATATTTAATTTCACACATGAAGCAGAAAGGTGCAGATAAGCATTATTTTCCACCAAAAAAAACAAACCTTAAGGAAATAGTTGTTATTGTTATTGCTGTTGCCAGACACTCCTTGCAATTCAGCCACAGTGCTCTAAAATGGTTGACAACACAAATTAAAGAAGGCTTTTCCCCATTAAAGAGAGCAGCCTAATGATAAAGGGTAGAAAAAACACTGAAGTTCCAGTGCCTGCTAGAATGCACACATTTGAGAACTGAGAGAATGCCTTCCATTCTTAGTTTCTCAACATTATGAAGAGTATAAAGTCAATTCACATTATTAAAAGGCCATTCATAATAATTGCAATCTCTTGTTCACAACACAAGCTGTTTCCAACCAGGAACAGCAAACAGCATGAGTCAAATTTAATGTTATCCCTTTAATGCTTTTTGCCTAAAAATTATATTCTTATAAACCATTTAACGCTTATGCAAACCATAGCTCCATTATATTTCTGACTCTAATTATTACATGTTAAGACAAGCAATAAAAATGCATATCCAGGTAGGTAGCTGCTCTAAATATTCAATACCTTAAAAGATTCTAAAAGCTAATATTCTCATGATATAGTTATAATTATATTAATTTCCAGTAATGAAAAAAATTATGAAAGTGAGCTTAAATTATGTCTTAAGAGAAGGGGCCTCAGTCTCTAGAGTGATGATTAACCTTGTTATAAACTATTACCTGAAGAGACTTTGATATGCCATCTATAATCTAAGACTTTAAAATGTAATGATTATCATATTTTAAAAGCATATTTAAAGAAGCAAATCAAAATAATCCTATAATTTCAAAGTGCATGTAAAATAGTTTATTTTAATGTGAACGACCATATGCATTTTCTAATTCAAAAAAGTGGTACAGCACCAGGTCATACTTCATTTTTTGAGCCCACTGTATTTCACACTGCATAATGATCTTGGATAGAAACATATACCCACAATTTACATACATGACCCATGCTACACAAAACATATGCCAGAATTACAACATCCCACCACTAAAAGGCTAAACATTGATAGCTGTGGAGTATGACAGATTAAATTTGTTACTGAAAATTAAAATCTAGTTGAAAAATTTACCATACCCCCAGAATTTCGTGGGATAGTGCTGACTGTGTGAGGGGCTTACTAAAATCCTCCATCGTTACCTTCCAGATTGTTGAAAGAAAGAAAGAAAGAAAGAAAGAAAGAAAGAAAGAAAGAAAGAAAGAAAGAAAGAAAGAAAAAAAGAAAGAAAGAAAGAAAGAAGAAAGAAAGAAAGGAAGGAAGGAAGAAAGAAATGAACAATAATTCTATTATCCAGAGATGCAATCGCTAATTACAGATATATTCAGATCTACATCTTAAATGTTTCAACTGCTCAGATTTAATCTTTTTCTTTACAGGATCCTTTCCCTCATTCTTCAGCCTTTGGGCAGAGCCCTTTTACCTTTTTTTTTTAAAATCACAATGTTTAACAGAGAGTAAACAGAAACAGGAATGTAAATTAAAATTGATTTGGCTGTTTGCTTATTGTAAACTCCTCGAGTTTAAATATTTGGGGGGGGAACCCAGAAAGTATAGAAATTTAAATAGAGTCTGAGGATTATCTATATATCTTAAATTCTATTGGAGTACAACTTATAATGTCCTAAAGCATTAAAACAGCTACGTGTAAGCACACACAATACATAATAAGGTATTCTTATTCCTGAATACGGTTTTGATAGAGAACTACTGTACTTTTACAATTTCAGGATATATTTCTCAACATTGCAATGTTTTCCCCATGGGCAGTTCAAGCAAGCAACTCCCCTCTATCAATGTGACAGGTTCCAAGTTAGAATCAACCTTGGATGATTTGACCAAAACCAGAAGCTATAATGCTGATCTAAGCACTGGCTCTGGAAATTAGTTGGATGAACATAGTTGTTCTGCATGTAATTAGAGGTTTTCCTAGGGGCCCAGGGAATGTCATAGGGGATACTGTGAAATAAAAATGCTTCTAACTTTGAAATCACAAGATGATTCCATAAATGATAAGAAAAGTGAGAAGCCAAGTGATTGATTACACAATTCAGGATTAACAAAGATACATAAATCAATACATTGTTGAATTACACATAAAATTAACTCAGTTATTCAAGGATCACTTACCCATTGGATAACCAATGGTTATTGGTTCTTCTCACCTCCATTATGTCTCTTACATTTTACTTTTCATTAACAGAGAGAAAGAGAGTAGATAAAAAATAGGGACCTACCACTCCAATTGATTTAACAATATTTGGTAGCATTAGTAAAAAAATGAATTTAAATCAAGTAAATAAAGTATTTATACAAGAGTGAATTTTCATTATTTGTACAGCTTTCATCTCTCCTATGCACAGATATTAACAGTTGGTTTTAACTGAGCATGTTTTGGCAACACACAAGAAAGGGAAAGAACTACAAGTCAGAGAGGAGCATGAGAGAGAAACAAAGAAAAAGGTTGCCTGACCTTTTCAGTAAAGTGAAGGTTACATGGAATAACATAGTAGTGAGCATCTGATTTCTATTTCTGGATTTCTATCTCTACAACTTGAAGAGAGAAAAAAAAGTTTAACCTAAAGCTAAACTTGGATTTAAAAAAAATCATATACTTAATTATTCTTCCCTTTCAGCCCTATCTTCATAGGATACTTACAGATTATTTGCCTAGAATAAAATAATTCTCCAAGTATTTAATTCCCCTATTACTAGAAATACTGAATAAAGAATCATAGAACCTAAGTATTACAAGAAACTCCATCACCTAACACAGGAATCCTCTTTCCAACATCTCGTCACCCAGTTATTCTGTGGGTACCTGAACAAAGACAGACCCATTAGTCCACTCCATTCAAAAACAGCAATATGTTGTAAAGAGTCCCAACTTTGGGGACAGGAAGACCCTATTCCCATCATAAATCTGCCAACTACTAGCTATATGACTAGAAAAAGCCTCGTTTGCTTCATTTCTAGAAAAAAAATCTTTTCCGCGTGCTGTAAAGATTACATGAAATCATGTAGGGAAATGCACCTTGCCAAGTGCCAGGCACTGAATATTTATTTCCTTTTCTTAGTCCTGAAAATATCTGCTCAGGTGACAATCAACTTTGCTTTCCTCATAAAAACTAAGCAAACAAACAAACAAAAAATCCATATGATGTGCTCCTAAGTATAAAAGTTGAGTAATAAATATTCATTTTGCATTGACTCAAATTACTAAATTAGAATCTTACATCAAACAAACAAACAAAAAGCTTTAAGGGCTTGAGTTGAAAACTTTTGGAACTGAATGTAATCAATTCCTCAAAATAACTGGAAGAAGTATGTACTGTGTAGCAGGTGATCTAAAATTTTCACTTGGAGAGCTTTAAAGAACTGTCTTATTTTCCCTCTTTCTTCGCTAGACTTGATGTTTTATTTCACACACTCACAGAATATTCAAAGCTAGAAAGAGTGCAGAAATTTAGCCCAATCTCTTAAAGCCAAAGATACTGAGGCCCACAGACTGGGAAAGCTTGGCCTCCTCGCCTTGCTCCACCTAATGTCACCCGAACTCCCCCGAATCGCACATCCAAATTCTTTCTAGCAGAGCCAGCAGGTAAAAACCAAATCTGCAGAGAATGATTCTACAATCCTAAAAATAGGCTTGCAGCCAAAGCAAATCAGTGTCTCTGATAAAACACAAGATACTAGCACAGAGAACTGAAGACTAAGATGAACATTTAAATATTTGAGGAAATTGTTTTTAATTTCTAAATCCAAGGTAACATTTTCATACATTATATCTCAGTATAATAAAAAAAAAACTTGCCATTTCAAGTGGGCTCTGCAAGTAAAAAATTAAATCAACTAAACAGAATTCTAAGAGACAAATTCATTCACGTGAAGACTTTGTAACGTTTATCCTCTGATCAAAAGTTAACTGGTGCACCATTTTTAATTGTTTACTATAATAAATGGAGAATAAACATTAAACTACCAACGCACAAAAAATTAAGATACATTTGGGTTAAAACATTCCAGACTAAAAATACATGGAAGTATCTCAATGTCTATTTATTAATCTTCACTATGTCCTGGCTAGAGTCCAAGAAAAAGCTCTGGAAGAAGAATATATTCAGATGAGTAGAGGTTGAACGTATGGAAGGTGCACTGTCCTTGTATCAGCTGGTATAAATATGTTTTACCTGAATATTGACTATGTTTATGGAGTATGAAATACTCTGACTAAATTATTGGTGGGTCTTCTGACATGCCAATATGAAACACATGCGTGTTTAAACATGTTTATAATAAAGCATGTTGTCCCATTATATCAATGTACATTTGGCATTTACATTAGAAATAGACCAGCATCTGTATTACATTAAAACACACAAGGATTCCAGAGAGCCATTTTCACTTGGGGGTTAGCTTCTATTCATTTACTTGATCTTCTACAGAGAGCAGGATGCAAAATTACTCCAATATGTATCTACTCTATGGAATATGTGCTGGTGGAAAAGCTTTGTTCTGCATTATGTTAGCACAAATCACAGTGAGCAGATCTAAAGAACGTTTTCCTCCTGGAAAAAAAGAAACCTGAAAATACCCACAATTTTTAGTACTTTTCTGTGTGTGTTTGTGTATGTATGTGTGCATTTTTTTCAATCAAAATGTTTACTGATTTTTTTTTTTTCAAAAAGCATTACAAACTTACTGTAGAAAATTGGGGGAGAAATCGAAAAAATATAAAGCAGGGAGAGAAAATCACCAATATTCCAACAATAAAGACAGCTACTATTCACATCTTGGTGTTTTTACTCTTTTTTGTTTCCGTGAATTTCTTTTAATAGTGCAGTAAAACATGACTTATTTGATCCCAAAGTCTTCAGGCTATAAACAGGATACCATTAACTTGATTCATAAGTTAATAACAGACGTAAGTAGTATTTCTCTTCTGTGAGGTTGAATGTAGACACGCTCTCCATGAACAACTGCAAAGAACCTATCATACTCTCACACGGTAGAGAGTCTTGTAAAGTAGAACGTGGTGGGGAGAAAGGCAGGAAGGACTCTGTCACGCGCTTCTTACCTCATCGTCGTCGGCGTCGTACTGGGCATAGTGCTGCTCGAGCAGCTCTCTCTGGCGCCTTTCTTGTTCCAGTGTCTGGCTTATCAACTGGGCAACCTCACTCACTTGTCCTGGCTTTTCTCGCCCAATAACAAATCTGTAGGAAGGTGAAAGGAGACTAATATAGTTGGATTCTCCAGCAAAAAGGAATGCTAAAAAAAAAAAAAGAAAAGCACTGAGCTTGATAGCTCATCACAGTCCATCAAGCCTCAAGAAATTAATATCACATATATACTCTAAATGGTATGCCTGTGTGGAAGGGGAGGTTAGCTGAGCAACTGAACAGGTGATTGTAGACATACCCTAAAGGAAAAGAAAGGGGAAAAATAAAGGACAATAAAAAAATGGGGTGTCTGGGTGGCTCAGTCAGTTAAGCATCTGACTCTTGATTTCCACTCAGGTCATGATCTCAGAGTCCTGAGATCAGCCCCACCTCCGGTGGGCACTGGGCGTGGAACCTGCTGAAGATTCTCTCTCCCTTTCCTTCTGCCACCCCACCACCCCCCCAACCCCTGCTTGCATGCTGCTCTTTAAAAAAAAAAAAAAATTATTACTTTGGGAGAAGACAAAAGAGATGTAATCCATTCTACAGTACTTCACACATTTTTGATGCCCTACAAAGTGGAAGCAAACTCAGAATTTCTTGTACAATTGAACTTGAGAATCATTTCCGTAATACTGTCCTTTTTACAATGCAAACTCTGCTTCAAAAACATTCTGAGGAATAGCATGCCTCAGGTGGGTAAATAAAGAGGTGTTAACTTCTGCTAAGTTACTATAACTTTGGAGATAAGAAAAAGAAGAGGAAACAAATACAGATTTTGGTTTTGTTGTTAAAAAGAAAAACTAAAATAAGGAGAGGTCATGAATTTGAAAATTCAGTTTTGGAGAAAGACGCTATGAGGAAAGGTGTGGTTACAAGAAATAAAGGGACAAAGGGAAATATATGTTCATATCAATTACTGTAATAAAAAACGTATAAAGTAAAAACAAGGGAAGGCACTCACTTATTGCAAGCTGCAGTCACTTATGATACAACCTCATCAATACTATGTGTCTTGCTTAACAAATTAATATTCACTTAACATCTTTTCACACTAATATATAGTTCTATTTTTCTAAAAATACGAGTAATTCACATGATTTAGTTTCTATATATCATTTAATTTCATTATTTTCAATGTGACTCTTTGTTTAATCATGTTTCTATACTTAACTGATGTTTTCCTCTGATTATAGTATGTTGCTGTATTGGATCATAAGTTTAAATGAAATACACCACTGTATTGTACAAATGCACTAAAAGTCAAAATTTTTATACTCAGATGCTAGGAATTGTCTTTATAGCAATACTTTTATATAGTTCCAAACAGGACTTTGAAATTAGGCTTGGTTTTATCATTTGAGTTATTTTCCTTTGGAAATCAAGTATAAGTAGAGTTCATAAATTCTGTAATTTTCATCCTTATTCAGGTATAATTTACACATAATAAAGTACATCTATTTTAAATGTACAGTTTGATAAGTTTCACAAACATAACCTGTAATCGCCACATCAATAAAGATACACATTTCCATCAACCTAAAATATACCATTTTCCTTTCTAGTAAATCATCCTCACCCTGGGCCCCTATTAGATTTGTTTTTTCTAGAGTTTCAGAATCATAGAGTGTCTGACTTCTTTGGCTCACCATGTTTTGGAGACTTATCCATGCTGATGCAAGTATCAGTAATTCATTCCTTTTCATTACTGAATAGTATTTCATTGTACCAGATGTACTACATTTGGTTTAGCTATTCTATTATGAGTTGGATTTTGGATATTACGAGCAAAGTTACTACAAACATTTCTGTGCAAGTCGTTGTGGGGGCATAAATTTTCACTTCTCTTAGACAAATAACTAATAGTGTAATTGATGTTCTACGGTATTGTATGTTCAACTTTTAAAGAAATTGCCAAATTATTTTTCAAAGTGGTGGTGCCATTTTATATTCCTACCAGCAATGCAGGAAAATTAGTTGCTTTACATCCTAACCAACACTTGGTACTGTCTTTTAAAATTTTAGCCATTCTACTGAATAGCTAATGGTACCTTATAATGGTTTTAATTTCCAATGCTTTGATGACCAATGCCGTTAAGTATCTTTTCATGCACTTACTGAGCATTCATATATCTTTCTCAGTGAAATACCTTTTCAAATATTTTGCCAATTTAAAAAAACTGTGGTGTCCAGCTTTTTATTATTGACCTGTAATAGTTCTTTATATATTCTGGATGCATATCTTCATGTATGTATACTCTATGTAATAAATACACACAGATACATACACACATACAAAGACTGTCTGTGTATCTCTGATTTATTTATTTTCTTCTCCCAGTCTGTGGTTTACCTCTTGACTTTTTTTTTTTTAATTTTTTAAAAAAAGACTTTATTTGTCAAAGAGAGAGAGAAAGCAAAAGCAGAGGGAGTGCGAGGCAGGGGGAGAAGCAGGTTCCCCAATGAGCAAGAAGCCTGATGCGGAACTCGATCCCAGGACCCTGGGATCAAGACCTGAGCTGAAGGCAGACGCTTAATGGACTGAGCCACCCAGGCACCCCTACCTCCTAATTTTCTTAATTGTGTCTTTCAAGGAAGTCCAATTTATACCTTTTTAAAAGATATGTGCCTTTTGTTTCCTATCTAAGAAATCTTTGCCCCATTTAAGATTGCTAAGATTTCTCCTATTTTTCTTCTTGAAGTGTTAATGTTTTGATTTTATATTAGGTCTATATCTTTCAAATTAATTTTCATGCATGATGTTTGGTAAGGGTGGAGTTTCATTACTTTTCCACATGGATAACTAGTTGTTTCCACACCATTTACTGAAAAGACTATTCATTACTGCCACTGAATTACTTTAGCACATTTGTTGAAAATCAATTGACTAGATACTTGTGGGCTGATTTTTGGACTTTTCCAATCTCTTCCATTGATGTATTTATCCTTGTGGGAATACCACACTGCCTTGATTACTATATAATCACTCTTGAAACTAGGTGGTATGAATTTTCCAACTCTGTGTATCTTTTCCAAAACTATTTTGACTATTCAAAGTTATCTGCATTTTCATATAAATTTTACAATCAGCTCATCAATTTCTTTTAAAAGTCCATTGATGTTTGATTTGGGATTGCTCTGAATCTATAGATCCATTTGTGGAAAACTGACATCGTAATATTGAGCTGATCCATGAACATGGTGACATTTCTTCATTTATTTAGATTTTCTTTACTTTCTTTTAGTAATACACTACAACGTTCAGTGCAAAGTTGTAGCTATAGTTTGTTAAATTTATCTCTAACTATTTCATGTTTTTTCAAGTTACTGTAAGTGGTACTGATTTTTAAATTTGTTTCTAATTGTTTGTTGCTAGAATATAGAAATATAATTGACTTTCGAATAATGGCCTTGTATTTTATGACCTTGCTAAACTCACTTATTAATCATAGTAGACTTTTATAGATTCCTTAGAATTTTCCAAATATAAGATCATATCCACTATGAAGACATTTTTATTTCTTCTTTTCCTACCGGTTTATTTTTCTATTTCATTTGAAGATATTTGGTTTCTGTGATGGAAGATACATAAAGTCTTTAACATGCCCAACTAATCTAGACATATAAAGACTATCTTGAATTCTCTTGGTTAACAGTCTAAAAGTCAGAAATGATGTCCAGGGATATAAATATAAAGCAATTAAGAAACTCATATTCTAGAACAAGAGCTTTAGGAAAACCTAGATTGATCTTTTATGTTTCTTCAAATGCATAACAGAGTGGGGTTTGAGGAAGTATCACTTACCTACTATAAAGCTGACAGGAATTTGAAGGAAGCAATTAATGTACAAAATGCTATTAACTGAAAACAGTAGCCATGCTCAAAGTAAAAGGTAAATGAGAATTTATATTCATTTAAGCCATAAATTCTTTAAACTTATTTGAGAATTACACGGTCAGATCTTTTAGTTAACAGTTTTCCCCAAGAATGGAGAAGTTTATTTCCTCTGCAAAGCAAGTGTTTAAAATTACTCTGAACACAATTCAGGGAGAGAAAAAGAGAAGATTTGGTTCACTTGCCAACAAGTTAGAAGCTCTGCTGATGACTCTAAAGGTGAATGAGGGAGTCTGAAGAAAGACCTTGTGAGAAATTTTAAAGCAGAAAATTATTTTTAAAGCCCAAATTATAAGATTAGAGCATATCATATAACAATAAATTATATAATTATATAATAAATCAAAACTCCAATATGACGTGCCAGTTTCTTCCTGCCCTCAAAGCATGATCTCTAATTCCAAGCCAGAATTATTTGTGATGCTAAAACTAAAAGGAACAAATACATGAATAATCGAAATTTCAGAGGAAATAAGAACTGTCCCACATTGCATAAGAAACCAGCATTTTAAACCATGAAGGCATAGGTGCTCAATTCACAGTGCGGCTTTCTGAATTGGTGTCTACAACTGAACGGTATTCACTATTTGCCCAGTATTAGTTTGTATTCAAAATCACTTTACAGTCCTATGAAATAAAAGTGATTCTAATTGTATATAAAATAGACAGTCCATCTCATGAAATATACTTTTTAAAGCATTATGTTCAAGTACACGTCTCTTCATTCAGGCAGCTGTTTGGGGTAGCATTATAGCACCTAGCCACATAAATCTTGAAAGCCTTGTAATCCAGTGTGATTTATAGTTCATACGTTCATGAGTAGAATGGCATCCTGGTAAGTGTGGTTCAGAGGGAAAGCACCCAGAGGTGGAACTAAACTATTCTCCACGCCTTATTTTCCTCATGTGAAAACTGGTATCTACTTCATGTGTTGAAAGGAGGGATAAAACAATAAAATGTGGTATAGACATGAAAGGACGTTAGGCACTATTACTATGATGATGAAAGTGATAAAATCTCCCATTTGGAAAATGCGTAATTCAAATTACCTTTCTATATGTTCTTAAATGTTTGCTCCATTTTTAAGCTGTCTTTATAAATGGACTCCTATAACAATATGTGTACAATCTAGCACATGCAGGATTGAGAAAATGCAAAA